TGTAATTTATGATTGCTTCAAAAAATACTCTACAGCAGCCTGCCTGTCTTCTCTTGCGTCCCAGCGACGCCCGCGCTCAAGCGCAGATGTTTTGAGATATGCTTCACGCTCACGTTGGCTCCCGGGATGCTTTTGCCGTCCCTTGCATGAGCGGCAAATCGTGGTGGTCAGGAAACTGCGACATTATTTATTGTGTCTTACATGACTCCCGACATGACTCGCCTGCACGTGGACGGTGCTGATCGTACATTTTTCGCGGTCCATGACATTTGACTCGCATTGCTGTCCGACGGTTGTGCATAAACGACGGCGACCGAACCTTCACGCCGACTAACACAGCCGAATTCGACTCCACACCGTCAAGGAATTCAACACTGTATGCAAATCCAGAACGTCAGCGCACGATATGCCGAACCTACCCAGTACAACTGACAACCACCATGGGGACCCACGCCCCGTCCATCAGTACTTCCCCCCCGCCCACGTCCACGCACCAATCGTAAACGTCCCACCCCTTTTGTTGGAAACAACCACGCGACCGCCCTGCCTTCACTACCTTGGCCCAACACCATGGGCAACCATTCAACAGGCACCACTTCAGCAACTCCAGGTCCCCACTCTCAGCTGCCAACCCGCAGATTTCGGCAGTCCAGCGGTAGCCGCGCTCCCGCAACCCCCTCACCACGCGAAAATGGCCTCCCCTCGCAGCCGACTCCATGATCCCATCGTCGTAGTCCCACCCACTTTCCAAGCACCACAGCACCCACTCCAAACTCCCTTCTCTGGCCCCCCATGAAGGGGAACCACGCCCCCCAACGGGCAAAAACTCCCTCTTCGTGTAGCCACTGCACTAGTGGCCTCAAAACACGTAAATGGCGCATAACTTCTTCGACATTACCCGCACTCAAGTCGGTGACTCGGTGAATGGCCCTCACGCACCACTCCGCCACCTCAAAGTGACGGTGTGAGGCCGCACCTCTATCGCTATGCTCATCCCGCTCATTGCGTATTTAGCAGCTGGTATTTAGTCACCTGGTCGGGAAACTCTTCCCAGAGAGTCTTCACCATGCCTAGGTCGCCCTCCTTAGCTGCCCGCTCTAGTCCATCGCAAATCACACCTTCATCTGCACTTACGTAACCTCCTACTGAGCCCACCATATCCGCGTTACCTGAGGCTACCGCCAGCGCGAAGGCGTCTTTGTCCATAGGAAACTCCTGTTCCACGCACTGCTTTAGTATTTCTTCGACAATCGTTGTGTTGCTGCCTCGAACAGCTGCCTCCAACAACCCACTCTCCAGCGTACATCCAAACGTAAACTTCGATTCTTCAAATATCATAATGTTGCCCGTTGCTGCGGCAAGCATACATCCCCGCTGCCCCCATCCCGCCTTTATAGCTGACGCCAAGCGGTGGGACGATAGGATAATGGCCATGGTGTTCGGGAACGTCTTGTCCGTCCCATGTGTTTGCGGCAAACTCCTCCTCACACAACCGAGGAACAAGTCGAAATCCATTCCGCCCCAGTATTGCGTGATGAGTTGCATCACGTCCGCATTTAGGCCACTGGACCACTCCTATTTTGGAGCGAGCACGCCGGACGGAGCAAACGGCAGGGAATACAGGAAGTATTGGGTGCGATCAAGGAATTAGATGCAGGCAGTCATGGATGTATCAACCAGTAACCTTATTTGTTGCAGTGGAATTAGGTAACACATATATGTGGGTCCATCGCGGAAGTTCCTCGCCCTTGTCATGTCAGAAGACCGGGGATCTGCCGCTGCCCGCTAATTTAAACGTACTTGTAGTCTACCCGTAACTTTGCAGTTTTTATCTTTTGTTTTGGCGATTAAAATGGCTTTTTTCTCACCACAGACCCATCAGCCCCCTCGTACGTGGTGTCCTCCTCCACCCTCGCCCGCTGCTTCTTCGGAGGGCGATCCAATCCCTGCTTGTGGGGGGGACAACAGCGCATGCACGTCAACGTCTTCACGTCCTACAACAAAACAAATAGTCTATAACATGTACATTATTTGTTATATGTATTTAGTACAAGCTGCAACAGCAGTTACAACCTTCAACGTTGTCTCCAGGTCAAGTACAGCAGAGGAAGTCCCGCGGAACTAACGACAGATCATCGTGCACTCAAGAGACGATTCAGCAACAGATTGACTTTAGGAGGGCCTACACGACACATACACGTACACGACTGCTGTAGTGTCGGCGCCGTGGTGCCCGCGGGCAAAGGAGCCTCGATCCTCGGGCGGATCCAAAACGATGACCTCCGCAATTGCGTTTACAGCAGTAGTATACGGTCTTACCTCGTCCATTGAAAAGCCGCCAGCAGCGACCTCCGGACTGCCGGTAGTGGTGCGCTCACCGCCCTCGTCGTCCGCGGTGGCAGCAGCCTCCGGGTTACCACTAGATCTCGTGCAGTCCATGCCAACGGCCGCAACGTGCGTCGAAGCGCTCTTGGGAACGTGCGCAGCGCTCTCGACGACGTGCGCAGCGCTCTCGGCAACAGCCTCCATACTGAGAGTGCCTCGGGGTTGTTAGACAGCGGTTTCAGCGTGCAGACAGAGGCTGTGCGTGCTACAGGGTAGCAGGGTGGTCTGTGCCATCGCTCTCTGCTCTTGGCTTCAGTGCTTCAGTTTGAAATCTGGATCTGTAGAGTCGTTTCTGGAGGCGCTGGTTCTGTAGAGTCGGTTCTGGAGGCGTTTTTTGTTATGACAGGAGTTTCTTTCCTGATATATATGGCAGATTCCCGGGCGCCGTGCTCGTTGCTCTGTTGGTACAAGACAGAAGAACGTGTGTGCGCGACTGCTACTGGAAGGGCTGCAGTGGGCGACAACGAAGGGCACACCAATTTCCGGCAAGGGGGGCGCGTATGTCGTCGGCCCGCAGGCGCCTGGTAAGCGTAACGCGATCCCCATTCTCCTCTATGAACACCGTCCGTCGATAAGCACACAACAGCAGTACCGCCGCGGTAACGGCCGCCGACCAAACCGAAACACCCACCATGTACAGCGTTGCAGCTTGGCGTTTGGCTGCTATCAAACGACCCCGACGAACGGTACCCGGAGGTACCCCACCTGTACAGAGATGCTTTGTTCTAAGGTACCTTTTGGCGTTAGACTTGCGTAGCGGGTCTGGTTTCGTGTGCGATACAGGCGTTGATCCTGTAGGAGTTTGCGATCGGTGTGCGCATCATACTCAGGTCTGGGCAACAGGGTTGACCATCGTCGTTCTCTCCTGGTCGCGACACAACTTCAAGGGGGGCAAACGCATCGGCGGGACGAGCATGTGAGCGGAGATGTCGTTACCTAATAGTTCCGCCGATTCCCAGTTAATATCCGCTGTAAGGACAAACTTGGGGCCATCTCAGCATGCTGTATTATTATACTGGTGGAAGGTGCGGAGTATCTACACTTTGTAACTTGGGCGTTTTTTCCTCAACGACGGCACCAACCCGTACCTTAGGCACACCTGGGTGTTCGAGGCACGTTTATCGTATGCTCCAGTTGCCGAGGGTTGGATACGTAAGACACATATGACGGAAGGAAGCACAACACTGCCTACAGGAGCGAGAACGCGCTTTGTGCCTCTCTGGCGAGCATTGGATTAGCCGGTCGGACGGGATGAATCCATGATGTGTGCGGCCATGAAAGGTCTTCCACCATACTGGGGTACTGCTGTACTACGTGCAATTTGACCCTATCACTTCGTTTCACGGCGATTATGTTTCGCGCTGGTATGTTCTGCGGCACACGGCCTACATGGTCTAGGAGGTCTCCCAGAGACGATGACAGTAACTATTACGACGGAAGCACCCAACGTACCCAGCTCCGAGGAGTTCCCGTGAGCGATTGCGCATCTTTTGGTCGAGATCGCGGCCAGTGGGATGAAGGTGATGAGCAGCAGCACCGCCATCGGAGTGACACGGGTGGTGGATTGGTGTTGATCAAATCCTTCAAGACAGGAAGCACCACACTGGCGACCTACATCGCGCAGGTGCGGTTATGACCACCCTTGTTTCCGGCTAGACTATGCCTATGCGCAGGGTTGTTTTTCAGTTGATACCCACCATCCTCTCCCTCTTTGCAGCAACACCCGTTACGTGGCTTACCGTTGTTTGACACGTACACTATGGCGGGGTGCAACGTACAGATATCGTTTTTGCTCAGCATCGTTTTTTGCCAGTCGAACAGAAGACGACAGGGAAGGAAAAGACAAGAGAGGCACGCGCATCGGGGGGGATAGGCTGTCACGTGTGCGTCTTTGAAGTCCATGCACGCGCACACCTGTGTTCTTTCGTTCGAGCGAGTTAGACAGATGAAGCACCACGTTCGTTTTCGACACGGGTTCCCGGCAAACACATGGATGTTCTCTGAAACAAAAATATTCCGGCGAGGCGAAATCTCTGCTGCATGTAACACCTATTTTTTGTGGTACAGTATGTACGTTGTCACGTTAGCAACGAGGTGGAGAGAGGGAAATGTGCGCACGTGTGGAGCGTTCAATCCTTTCCATGTCATGGTGCGTGCCCCAGCTGTATGTATTTTTCCCGAGCCAGTCCAGTCATTGAGTATACCACTCAGAGAATCCACACAGATTCGTGGCTATTCGGCGCATGCGCTGGAAACCTGGGTCCACTGCTGAATTGCACCCTTTGCCCAATTCTTCTGTTGTGTAGTCGACTGGCGCGACAGCATGGCGTGGCGGAGGCATCCCGCAGCGCCATCCATGTAAAGAATTTTCCCCGCAGCCCCTTCGCGCTGGCGCCATCTCTTCCCTGCGCTCGGCCCTCTTTTTCAATCGTAACCCGGACACTTGATAGCAAGAACCGCCTGCTCGGGTGCTCTTTCTGCCGTGCCGCTAGGTTGGCCACCAGAGACGCTCCTACTTCTTGCACCCCAAGGCCACCGGCTGGTTCGGGCGGGGCGAGCTCGAATCCCGGCGCGACGAGGGTCAGTCGTTCGACATAAGCCTTCGACACGTGACGCCGTACACCCCGTACGACGTGCTGGAGGAGCTGGTGCCCGGGGCGGCCTTCGTGACGATAATGCGCCGCCCCGCCGAGCGCTTTCTGTCGCTCTTCAACTTCCGAGGGGATATCAAGAAGAAATACAAGGTGCGCCGGCAAGCCGGCAGTAGCGGTAGTTGTCCCCACCGGATTTACTGCAGACCGGGAATTCTGCTTGCTGCCATCTTCCCAGCCACGAACCTACCATCTCTTTTTATCGTCCTTGTTCTCTGCTTCTGCCGTCTTGCCAAGTACGAACCGTTGCTTAATAGCGTTTTTCATACCTACCGGGCGGTCTCGCCCTCTCACACCGAAGGGTTCCGGGTCACGCACGGAAAGAAGCCCTCTGGCTTCCATTCGTTCTTTTCCTATGGCGAGAAGGGCTTGGCCGCCATTCCTCCCCTGAATAATTTTCACGAACGAACGCTCCAGTTTACAAAAGCGCTTCGCCCGTTGCTCCGCAGTTTCAGAGACACCGAAACATACGGTACAGTGCGGGAACCCCTCATCTTGGAGGGCCTCGAAATCACGTGCACGCACACAAACGTTGTCGGGGCGTGCTACTGTAACCAGCGGCAGATCTGGGCGACACGACAATCCGATGCTAAATGTTTTCATGGTTACAGATAGCGCCCGCACGAAACGAGCTAGCTCCAAGTAGTAATGGGCGAGGCTGGGTTGTTAGTTCCTTGGGTTATGATATATCTTTCAGGTGTATGGGTTTGGTGTGCTGCGTACGCCCGAGAACTTGAACGTCGAAGCCTCTCCGCAGGTCATACACAGCGCGAAAAAAGCCTAGTATGGTGCGGTGCAGCTAGCGCCCGCACTTCAGAACTTGGCAGCTAAGAACTTGAGATGGCCTGGGGAAAACTTAAACAACAATAGCCTCGGAAAACCAAAAACTTGAACCCCATTTGTGAGACCGGTTAAGCGCCACATGCGCACGTGCGCTGCTAACGTGTGGTTCTTTTCTGATGCCTACCACCTGATGTCGCCCCAAGGTCGTTGTCATGCGTACCCCCCCCCCGATATCACCGATGATGATCGTGCATGATGCGCAGACCCCGCAAGCGCTGGTGACCGAGATTCGGGCCGGAAAAGTGCCTCAAGGTGATGCCCGACCGTTTTGCAACCAGCTCGCGTGGCTCATGTCCGGACGGGACGTGGACTTCACCAAGATCGCAGATGCGGAGAAAGCTCGAAGGTGCGCTATTTTATGCTATACCATGGCACCTACGACTGAATTTGCTGCGTTGTTCGCATGGATCGCTTGGAATCGACGAAGCCACTGGCCATTTCCTGTTTGAACCGACCCAAATAACGGGTCGTGTTTCCCCATACGCAAGATAGTACACGAAGGTAGCGCTTCTCATGCCCCAACAGCAGTGGCAGTGCAGGCAACACTGTTTGGACTTGTCGTATGCGGTTTCGTTTCGTAGGGGTCGCCTTTGTGGACGTCATGCGTGTGTTCGTTGTAGTTGTTGCTCGCTCCTCAGTTTTCTTCTTCGTTGCCTAAGAGTCTTCGCGGCAATGGTTTTCGGAGGTTGTGGCACTGCGAGTTGGTCGCGGTGTCTCTGTTGACACAGTTGCATGGCGTTGCATTTTCCCTTGCGCCCAGCGGTTTGGTGAAGCTTACGACTCTCGGGTGAGCGTCAGTCCTGAACTGTGCGGTAGTTTTAAATGCACCTTGCCTCGCCTGCGCTGCACTGCTGCACAACTCTCGTGTTATGTTGTCATAGCACCGTTCTGTAGTATTGGCGAGGTTCGCTACCGCTCTGTCGTGTGATGGCCGCACCGTCGTTGTTTCCCCTCAATGTATCTCCACAAAGCAACATACTGAACACGGTCACAGTATGAACCCCTTTTGTTTTGGGCGAAGCCGAGCGGCTTGTTTCCTCTGTAAGGAAGCCAGCAGCAAATGTGTTGATTTTAGTGTAGGTCGGGGTCCAAGCTCTTGTCACTTCAAATGTTTTACCCCTACAGTAGAGTTCATTGTTTGCCGAGTGTTTAACCGTAGTGACCCGTTCTGGACGCAATCGCGCTCGCCTTGTGTATCACGAAGCTCCATTTTGACCATGGTATTGAACGTATCGATGGTGCTATTGCGTCGCGGGAAATGTGGGGAATGGTGTTCTTGACAGGGTGGCCAGCGAGGTCATCGAAGAGGCTGAGAGACGCGGCGTGGTCGTGCTCATCACGGAAAGGATGTCAGAATCCGTCGCAGTCCTGGTGGGTGCTTTCATAGAGCCTCTTGTTGTTGTCGGTGTTGTTGTTGTTAGTGGTAGTAGATAGCGGTTGTGGCGATGTTGCCTCGTGGCGGGTGCTCTATCTCAAGTGTTTTCCTCCTCTCGTTTCGAAACACAGCCGCGGATCGCTGCCCTGCCCTCAGGCGCATCTCATGCAATGGGACATGGACACGATCGAGCTCAACGTTGGATCCCAAAGAGTGCAGGACGCAGGGCGTGGCTACTTTTCCTGCCCCGCCGCTGACACCAACAACAAGTGCGTCAGCGCCATCAGGTGGGCAAAAGGTGCAATGTGGCAGGGTCGGCATCGCATGGTTTGATCGATCAGCTTTTGCGTCATGCCGAAGGCTGTGGTGCCTGTACTATCATGTCGTGCGACCCACCAGCGAGCAGTGTAACAACGGGCCACCCCGGTGACCCTGACCCGGTGGCACGTGACGCCCTTGTTGCTGCTCCCGTGGCCTTGTATGGGGACGGCATCGACGCCGCCAACACATGCCGCAGCAACAGGTTTTCGTAGCCATACACCTCCATGCTCTTTTCGAAATGAAAGCCCATGACACAGTTGCATGGGATAGTAAATGCCCTAGGAGCATTCGTTCTCTAGAGAGTAGAAACGGTGCAGTTGAAGGACTCTCATCCGAATGACCTATCGCCGTTTTAAGTATGTGGTGTAGTCTGCTTTTTGGAGTAGAAGAGGGATGGCCCTTAACTCACTACAAACGCCGTGATGTCCCGGGAAATACCGGAGTCCGTTCTTCCTCCTCTGGTTGGCTGTCATGGCCAGTTGCGCGACCGGAAGAGGGAGGTTGAAGCAAAACAAGCTGTAACGCGTTCGAAAACGACGCGTGTCGGACGTTGTACTTCCGAACTGGCAGGGAACGACAACCCGAAACACAGCTCCGCCCGTTGATCTTGTTTCGGCAGTACCCAGTACCACTCGATAAACACATTTGGGCGCTCCTGAGTCGACGATACGCAGTTGTGTATGGCTCTACTGTAGGCGCGGTTGACAATGTTGACCTGCTTTTGAGTGTCGAAACCAATCCAGACTTGGGCAGAGAATGGAGATTTTGACGTTTTCTGTGTTCGATTCTGCGGCAGGTGACCTTGATATGCTGCGGAGGCACGTGACGATTCTTCGCGACATTGGGCTGTGTCTCGTTGCTCCTTTTTCCCCAGTTCTTTTTAATGCCGGCGGTATTGGTGCTGCTCTGCGGCTGTTTGCTGTTGCTTTGCTACGCTGTTGTTGCTACTGCAGAGGGTGTAACCTGGTCGACGAGGTGCTGTACGAGCACTACGAGCGACATTTCGAAATCCTAGTGCGCGCATTGCCTTCCCGAACGTCAGAGCGGGTAGCCGCGATGCTGGGCGGTCATCCCAAGGCCAAGGTGAGCCCACCACACACAGCACACACTTGCTCCATCCGCTTTCGCCCTCTTGTGAGCGATTCGCAGCTTCATTGGTAGCTAGCAAGGTGACCTAGTCCGCACTAAAGATAGGTGAATAGCCGTGGGTGCAGCTTGAAAGACTTGCCGTATTGCGGCGGGGGTAAAGTTTATTCAAGGAGCAGGGTTCTATCTGACTTAAGGTGGACCGCGGCCATGCTGAAACTGCAAAGTACCGCGTCCACGATTTTGAAAGCCCTCCACCTTGCGGTAGCGCTCCATAGTTGTTCTCTTGCACAGTCACGTGGTTGTCTACACACAGCGAAGCGAGTAGCTGAAAATTCTTGTCTACAGGTGTATCTGTCGAAAGCGAGTACCATCTTTTTTCGCGCTTGTTCGCCCCTTGCTCTTCACCGCTTACCTTGACAGCACGCGATGTCAATGTTGGATCGCGGGAAGTTTCCGGTCAACTGCATCAGCGGCAGCCCCGGAGCGGAAAGACGCACAGAACGGGGCAACGGTGGCGGGGGCGGTGACGGATCGGCATCACCGGAATCCAGCGAAGAGCTCTACCGCTGTCTTCACTCGTGCAACGGCCGTCCTCGATGACACCGATGTGGTTCGCAGCGGCTCGGCCCGTACAGGAGGTCTGTTGCTCGCAAAGCCTTTCGGCGTGCAATTCTGTACAGAACGTGTGCATTGTATCTCGTGTCTTGTTCAGTTTAGACTAGACTGGCGCCGACTTCCTTGACAACAGAGATGCCAATGCCGATGGACACCGCACCACGCGCTCCGGTGATGGGGAGCAATGTGGCCGGGCGTGATTCGGCGGGCCTGGGGCAGGCAGCGTTCGTGTGTTCATATGTGTCTACAGTTTGTGACGTCTCAGGTGATGGTTTGCTCCCCGTATCATGTCGTTCTGCACATTGCTCCGCGTCCTTGGTCAATTGAACTGTTTCTGTGTTCGACCGACGAATTATCTCAGGTCGCAGCTTGGTCAAATTTGTTTGGATCTGTTGCCATGTTTTGCGGGGCGTTGACGTTGTTTCCGTTGCATTTGTTGTTTGCTTCGTCTTGCCTTGTTGTTGTTGTTGTTGTTGGTGGTGGTGGTGGTGGAATGATGTTGTTGGTAGTGGTGGTGGCGGTACTGTTGGCAGTGGTGGCGTCCTCGTTGCGTGGTGACGCTGCTCTAGACAACCTACACTATGTCGTCTCGGTAGATGTTCTGTTCCTTGTCAATGACCAAGAGATCGAATTCCTACCATGGCACACCTACACGAGGTGGTACTGATGTGATGTCCTTGTGACGTATTCCGTTCGTTTCGATTCATATATATATATTTTATGTCTGTGCTTGCTTCACGCGGTCGATTGTGTTTTTGCAGATGCGCCACCTCATCATACGATGGGTGCACCAAGACCCCAGTGTTTCGGAAACTTTGGTTGGCAGCGGTCGAATCCCGTTCTACCATATATAGATATTTCAGTTGGACTCGTCGCGAACGCGGTAGTAGTCTCGATGCGTAATATATGTACCGTGGTTGAGGTTGGCCTCAGAAGGAAGTCAGACCTCCTGATCATGCCAGGGAAAGGTCAAGATGTTGAGATAGCAATTTCAGATACTACTTGGGTCTACATGGATCTCTCGTTCGCACTTCGAACGAAGGCAAGAATGCTGCCGGCTAGACTAAGGATATCGTGGTAGACGGCTGCTCAATGATGTCTTCAACACTTTGCTAAACCCGGGTACGTGGCAAAGGGGGATTTAAGCGGTGGAAGGGACGAGGGGGTCCACTGTAGCAAGACGTGAATTCTGCATCAAAACGGGGCACCCCTTGATGGTGTCGTGGCAACCTAAGCCCGTCCGTGGCTGGGCAACGCGGCGTGTGGGACCACCGCTTTCCGCCACGGCGCCGACTAATCTTCGTACAGGGTGTCGAATAAGACCCGCCAGTCTTCCTCGCTCCTGCTCACACAAGATATAGCCCGGGGCCACAGCAATGGAGGAGCAGAAAAACGTCGTTTGAAGACACGTCAAAACCTACGGTTAACCGTCTTGTGACAGGGACACTGCCCAGGGCTAGTGTTCACTATCGCCCGATCTCGTTGACGGGGCGTCAATCAAAGGCTTTGTCTACCGACAGCAAGTGAAAAACGTGTTTCGGAGTGAACTTGGATTATTGGGGGCACGACAATTTTATTTTGTCCAACCAAAATGCCGTGAGCTGTTGGATTGCGAGCAGGTGGTTTGCCGTACCTAGGTAGCCCGACCGGTTCAGGTACATTCTCGATAAGGGTCTCGTCGCTGTCGCTGGAACCGTCGTCAATCTTGCCTGGCGCATCTACGCAATGCGGTACGCCGTCTTCCTGCAGGGTCAAAGATATATAATGCAATACCGGAGTGAATACAAAGGGGAGGGGAGCACTACAAACATTTTCGCCATACACTTGTATCTTTTGGTCTGCAATATCCTCGGGTGTGCGCGGCCAAGTTATGTCGGAGCCCAGAAACCTGGCACGAAATGTCCTTTCACGTCCAGAAGCGTACAGGGTGCGTGGACACCGCAAGTCTATTTGGATTTTTGGGAGAAGAGGGCTGGATTTCAGTTTTCATTATCGTAGTTCCAAAACTTTGGCACGACGACACCTTCTTCTCCCCCCCGATGCTGACGATGAAGCCCCCCCACCCGGATTTTTTCATCCCTGCATCACCGTCGCCCTTGAGCAGAGTCCAGAAGTTCTCCAAGAAGTCCTTGCCCCATCCTCCTCTGAAGACTACGAGCACAAGCAGCAGAGAAAGAACGACCCCTACCGCTACTCCACCCGTGAAGCCGCCTCCAATTGAAGACGGCGCGGTACCTTCGCCGACACCGGGCCCCTCTCCGGTGCAGGCCATTTTCTCCCTGTCACAGAGTGTATCCGCGGCCGCCATTGCAGATGAGAAATACGCGCGGGATGATTCCTGTAGAACAGGGACCCCAGGCGTGTAGTCGGCGTGGCCGACGGTCCTGATACCCGGAGACGTGGTGCTGGTTTCTGTGTTGAAGACGGGTGCGTGCTGCAGCTGGGGCACATGGGCCACCGGGAGAAGGTGGAAGTTGCCGATGATGGCGCCACTGCTTGTCGCCTTGGTTATGCCCAAATTTCCGTTAATGCAACGGCACAGGGCGCACGTAAGGCCATTGTAGCAGGAGAAGGGGAAGAGAGAAATAGAGGTGAAGGCATCGGATTGAGAGAAATTATTCTAGCACAGGCGGAGTGGCCACCTCAGGGGGCGCATCCCAGCCAACGTGCGCGGCCTTCCCAGGCGTGTCCGGGTCTAGGCACGACAAATCCATCGCAATCCATTATGTGTATTCGCCCTGGAGTCTTTGGCCGTGCATTTGATGCTCAAATGGGAGGCGCACCGTGGCCGGTATCAGTTGAACAATGCTTTTTGTGAACGGGACTACTCCTCATCGAGAGAACTGATTCCCTGAGAGTGCATCAGAGGTGGAGACACAGTGCTCCTGCCCTATACTCACTTGTCTCCTGTTCACCTCGAAGTCGATCGACGAGGGCAGGGGAAGAAACAAAAGTCGACCAATCTCCGCCATTTGCCATTCAGGCCTCCCAGCAGCTCCCCCGTCATGATTGCGTGAGCGCCAAGGAGGACTCGATGCTGGTCTGTCAGGAGACGACGTCGCAATCGGAATGAATCCGTGGCAATCGGAGAGCGTCAAGCTATAGGCGCCGTCGTCCGAAAGCGAGACGCTGTTGTAGCTCCGCAGGAGCAGTCCGGGCTGGACGAAAAGAAGGTCACCGCCTTCGCCGTGGCCGGTGGTGGCCTCTGTACGTCGTCAATCAGCACGTGCCCGGGAGGATGTTGGTGTGCTACACCAGCACTCAATATCAATGTTGCATGCTGCCCACGAAGAAGGGGAAATGACAGTAGCTGTCCACTACTTATTGGTCAAAGACAGCTGTTCTTCTAGCACCTTGCTGTTGAATTGTCAGCTACTATGTGGAGCCCGGTTTATCCGTACGTGACAGGGTACACCGTGCACGTGAATAGCAATGGTTTGATCGATTGGTTGAATCTTGCGGGTAGGACACGATCAGACACTGGCAAAAAGTGAAGAACTGAACCCGTTCTTCAGGACTTGTTTGGAATGTTCATTTCGTTTCCCCAGGTTGATCGCAGTTTCAGGCTTCAGTCCCTGAAGGAGCCGTGAATGATGCCTTGTGGTTTCACTGAATGAAACCCGACTGAACAGGCTATTTCACAAGTTGTTCCGATGCGCATGTGAAATTTCTGTTCGTCGGCTTTGGTGGACGTACGCCTCATGATGCTACTCGCCCTTTTGAAGTCAACACCGAAACGAAAGATTACAGTAGGAACGAACACCATGTTCTCAACATGCAGTTGGCCGAATTTGTACCAAGAAAACGTGGAAATATTCACAGTATTGCAGTATTACACCGGCTTTCAGCAGCCGATAGCCCCGGTGGTCTAGTGGGTAGCCTCGCAGCCTGCTAAGGGCCAGGTCATGGGTTCGAGTCCCGGCAGAGTGAGTATTTTTCTCACTAAATAAATCCCGGTCTAGGATGAAAGCGACGCGCTGCAAAGCTCGTTGTTTTGTTGGTAAACCATAATCGACTTCGTAAGTCGCGAGGGAAGGGATTGCTGTACGCTTCTCGCGATAAAAATACCTCAGGCAGGAACCGCAGGAGGGGGTCCAGCCCCCCCCTCCTAATGTGACCGCGGTTGGGTCGTCTAGCTCNGCCAGGTCATGGGTTCGAGTCCCGGCAGAGTGAGTATTTTTCTCACTAAATAAATCCCGGTCTAGGATGAAAGCGACGCGCTGCAAAGCTCGTTGTTTTGTTGGTAAACCATAATCGACTTCGTAAGTCGCGAGGGAAGGGATTGCTGTACGCTTCTCGCGATAAAAATACCTCAGGCAGGAACCGCAGGAGGGGGTCCAGCCCCCCCCTCCTAATGTGACCGCGGTTGGGTCGTCTAGCTCGTGGAAGTGGAGGATAGGGGCCAGAGAGGCAGACGACAGAGTCCAATGATGGGAGAAAAAAATAAAATACTGCAGTTATTCGACACAGATATTTGCAATAGCCATGCGCATACTACGGTGAACTTCTGCCGAAGGGTATTCCTTGCGGAGTGAACAGCAACCATGTACGTTTGAACTCTACCTGTTTTCAAGAGTGAAATATTGAGTGACGATACAGCACACTATTCCAGCACATGTCTTGCCTTCTAGTAGAATTGTGGATGACGTGACTCATTGCGAGAATCGCGTATCAATCATCTTGTTTACAGGCAAGACTAGATGTTGCGGGGTGCATGGTACGCGCAATAGATATATTTGACGCGTTGTGAGCTCGGAAGGGCCAGCGTCAACCACGGCATCATGTGATTTTATTCCGTCTCACCTGAACTTGAAATGAAAGCGGCGCCGCTCGTGCGTGCACGGAGGGTTCGAATTGCGACCTGCAAGAAAAACCGTGCGCGGCGACGATAGTGATTTTAACGGTGGAATCTGTCGAGACTGTGAACGATTTAGGTGGGGATATCAGGGGCCCCGTGGGCCTGCCTGACTCGATACATGTTTGACCACCGATACCTGTCTGTGTCATTCTAGAAGTATGGTTGGCCATTGCTCCCGACACCCGGAAACCACAAGGAATGTATACCAGGACGTAGGTTAGCCACTCCCCACTGTTGCCGTCGGGAGAGAAAGTGGTTCCACAACGTATAGGCCAATGCGGCACCTCTAAAATATATGGTGTACTGCTGCTAACTGTTGTCGTCGGAGAGAAAATGGTCCCACAACGTATAGAAAAATGCGGCACTTCTAAGACTGTGGTGTCCTGCTAATGTAGAAGAAAGTACGTCTATGTGCATACCAGGTATGTAGTTTCAGACGCGTGGTCTAAACGCAAAAGGCTCAGCTGGGAAGCTTCCTGCCGAGTCGCACCTGACAGTAGGGACCGCTCTCCCGGTCGTCCCTGTCGGCTTGCTGGTGATCCTCTCCACGCGTTGATGCTGGCGTGTACGGTGGCCACGTCGCAGTAAACACTCTGGATGCGCCGCCGGTCGCAACGGACGTTGCAGGCATCTTTGGGCCAAACGATCCTTGCGGTAGGAAGCGGAGAAGCCGGTGAGGGAAGAAGAGAGGCATTGGTAAGGGCTTCCTGATGAAGCCGTTGCTCCGGTGTGCCCACATCACCGTTTCTTTTTTCCCGGAGCCAACGAGTATGATTACTGTAAGACAGGAGTTTTCACAAGCTGAACTTGTTCGATTACACTACTACTGTGGTCTGCATACACGACGGCAGCAGCCTTCCACCAAATGTCGGCAAATGCCGCAAATTAAGGAATACTCTGCCATCCGCTATGCGGACTCATGAACACAGGACAAGCTCCTCCACATCAGCTCAGCAGCAGGTGATTGCGCTTCAAAACAGCCAGTAAACTACATGCGTGTTCCAGCTGTTGACCTACGCTTTCTGCCTCATCCTCGCACCCTTCTTACCTTTCGTAGCGTCTCTGAGCAGGTCTAGGGAGCAAAAAAGGACGCAAGCTGCCAGCCCACCGATAGGCACATACCAAAATGCCACAACGTGCCCTCTCTCTCGCTGCTCTGTGGTGTGTGCACTCTGTCGATCGCTGCGGTGTGTCGGAGAGGCAGCGCAACTGCTATCGACGGAGGGGGCTGGATGTCCTATCCATGCCGCCCCCGCCGGCAAGTTGCTTTGTGGGATCTGTGGTTGAGGTTTGGCCTGCGCAAGTGTTGGCGATGCTGACCATCAAGTCAAGGTCGCATGGAAGTTCTCTCTCGCTCTCGCTACTTGGAAATTCCCCGCTTGCCGTTGGAAACCCCCGTTGTGATCTTCGGACATGTGTCCAAACTTTTTATAACCAGGGCGCTCCTGCGTGTCCTCCATTCAACCCTGGCAAAGGTGGCTTGGAAACAGAACCCCTGTTCACAATTGTCTAATGGGCTAGAGAGAACCCTATTATCGCACTGCAGCGTGAGCTGGTGTCTGAGTGGGGAAGACCTATCCATGTTGTCGATGACGCTCTGACTTTCGCTTTAGCGTACGCAGAAAACATCTGTTCGTCACAAGTGTCGATGAAATTTTCGTCGATCACGACGTATATGTGAACAACAGCCAGGTACACAGTAGTCATACGGCCCTTTCAACAGTACTGCATTGATACAATCCCGCTTGTTTCTTGCGTGAGAACCAATATTCATTCGATGCGATGTGAAGGAACTCTTGTTGGTACAGGCGAATAAGGAAAATGGAGGTCTGCACACCACAACAGGGCGCAGCGAACGAAACATCCCTCCGTGCATGTGGCTTCGCGCGATCATTTGCCGGACGCCCGCATTGATTGTGAAAATGTTGTTCCAAATCCTTGGATTTTCCCATATTCGTGCATACATACAACAACACATCCGGTCGCCCCGGCGGTCTAGTGGGTAGCCTCGCAGCCTGCTAAGGGCCAGATCGTGGGTTCGAGTCCCGACAGAGTGAGCTTTTTCTTGCTCATTAAACCCTGGTCTCCGTTGGAAGCGACGCGCTGCAAAGCTCGTTGTTAGTAAACTTGATCGACTTCATAAGTCGCGAGGGAAGGGATTGCTGTAGTACCCTTCTCGCGATAAAAATATCCCAGGCAAGAACCGCAGGAGGGGGTCCAAGCCTCCCCTCCCATGTGACCCCGGTTGGGTCGTCTAGCTGGTAGAAGTGGAGGATAGGGGCGAGAGAGGCAGACGACAGAGTCCAATAATGGGAGAAAATCAAACAACAAAAAACAAACAACGGNAGTCGCGAGGGAAGGGATTGCTGTAGTACCCTTCTCGCGATAAAAATATCCCAGGCAAGAACCGCAGGAGGGGGTCCAAGCCTCCCCTCCCATGTGACCCCGGTTGGGTCGTCTAGCTGGTAGAAGTGGAGGATAGGGGCGAGAGAGGCAGACGACAGAGTCCAATAATGGGAGAAAATCAAACAACAAAAAACAAACAACGGCCGGTCGCCCCGGCGGTCTAGTGGGTAGCCTCGCAGCCTGCTAAGGGCCAGGTCATGGGTTCGAGTCCCGACAGAGTGAGCCTTCTCTCGCTTATTAAATCCTGGTCTCCGTTGGAAGCGACGCACTGCAAAGCTCGTTGTTAGTGAACTTGATCGATTGCATAAGTCGCGAGGGAAGGGATTGCTGTACCCTTCTCGCGATAAAAATATCTCAGGCAGGAACCGCAGGAGGGGGTCCAACCTCCCCCTCCTGTGTGACCCCGGTTGGGTCGTCTAGCTGGTAGAAGTGGAGGATAGGGGCCAGAGGGGCAGACGACAGGGTCCAATGATGGGAGAAAAACAACAACAACAACAACAACAACAACAACAACAACAACAACAACAACAACAACAACAACAACAACATACATACATGTATGTATTGCATGGGAAGAGGGTCGGAAATTGCCCCATGCTACCCCTGCAACCTGGCCTCACTCGACATCTATTGAGTGAATTCTGTGCTTGACACAAAATGTACACAGGGAGAAAAATGCATCGATTGTTCAAGAAGGGGTGCCGCGTCTAGTACGTGCCATTGCTAAAACGGCTATCCGAGGACAAGGCACGAAGCTGCCCGTGGAGCACACGACGTGCTTTTATGAGCGTTGCCTGAAATGCCCCCAGTCTGCACGCTTGTGCAAGAATTGAGTCACAAGGACAACCACACCCATAGCAAGTTCCACGAACGAAAACAAAGTGAAGGCGATAAAACTCGTGCAGCAGGCCGTGGGATGGCATGCTCGCACCCCAGGTGTACGATGAAAACTTTCGTGTTTTGGCGGGCGTGGGATCATTCAGCCATCGCACTATTCCCGTCTGTTCTATGTAGTACCTTGTGAGAGAACTCATCACCGTCATTTGTTGGTGGAAATGCTTTCATTTCGTAGCTGGACCTCCACCTTGTTTTGTTTCTAGTATACAAGCACAGTACCGCATTATCGAGGCTCCCTGTCCTACTTTGGGGTTGTCTTCTGCAATACAGAGACATTCCACCCTCCAACACACATCGCCCCGGTGGTCTAGCGGGTAGCCTCGCAGCCTGCTAAGGGCCAGGTCATGGGTTCGAGTCCCGGCAGAGAGAGTTTTTTTCTTAATAAATCCTGGTCTAGGATGAAAGCGACGCGCTGCAAAGCTCGTTCGTTAGTAAACCATAATCGACTTCGCAAGTCGCGAGGGAAGTGATTGCTGTACGCTTCTCGCGATAAAAATACCTCAGGCAGGAACCGCAGGAGGGGGTCCAACCCCCCGCTCCTATTTGACCCCGGTTGGGTCGACTAGCTAGTGGAAGTGGAGGATAGGGGCCAGAGGGGCAGACGACAGAGTCCAATGATGGGAGAAAAACAAAACAAAACAAACAAAACATGACATTACAACGCAACCATCAGGAACAACATCACTCTACTGTTACGCGCGACCTGACTACCACGCATAGTCTACACCGTACGACATTCAGTTCCACACCCAAACCCGATCGGTGTACTACGCTCGAATACTCTCCAGCAACTCAGGACTTCCAGTGCCGACATTTGCGGCGTTGGAGCCGTCATGTCACGCGCTTCCCTAAATAGGCAACACCCGATGTTTTCATCCTCTTCGTCGTGGAGTAATCGGGCGTTGACGTTCCTTCCAGGGCATGTTGCATCTTCTGCGACGTACGGTAGTTCAACCATATGCGAGCTACTTGTACATAATGAGTTCCTTCTATTGCAATGGCTTCAAACCTCATTGCTCGTGTTTGGAACTCGACTCCAGTACACAGAACAGGCACGCGAAAAAAACAAACTACGACGCTCGAGTGAAAAGGCGAACAGCGCGAGAACGGCTGAACAGGAACAATGCCGTGAAACACGTCACGACATCCATGGAGCAAAGGACAATGATACAGCTGAGACACAGAATGAACCTGTCAAGACGAGAGGCACCACATCTATCCGTCCGCCGTCCATCGAGCGGCATATCGTACATTCGATACAACGAGGTCACGATGTCGACCGTCCAAGGGGACTCCAAAGGCGACCGAAAAGGAAACGCCCAACGTCAACGCAGCTATGAGGCATTGGGAAAAAACCAGACGCTCTGCCTATGCTTCAGGCTCTCTAGCGTCACATGCACGAGGCGATAGTGCCTCTACTTCAGGCTCTCCAGCCTCGCATGTACTACTGTACATCAGACTGCCAACCCCGTAACGCGTTGCAATGCTTCTACCCGCACAATGCACACTTCCCTTGCAAATTACATGGTACTAGTTAATGAAATGCCCCTAGATACTGTCGACTTTGGAAGAGCAGCAGGCCGCACTATTCGACAAAGTGCCCGATCGGATCGATACGGGAAGTTTCTGACCACTTTCGCGGCGTTGCACACCCAACGTGTAGACACCCCAAAAGCCTAAACCATGTAACGCACTTGATAATAATGGAGGACAAGGAGAAAATGATCAACTTCAGGAAATAGAGGGTTGATTACTTCATAAATAACATTAACATCTCCCGACGCCCCTTCCACAAAGAAGGCATGAAAACCATGCTACACCCAGGCAGGCTCGTCCTTCACCTGGCAGATACCTCCGACCTGTTGGAAAAATGCCGCCACCTGAGACGCCCCAGGTTCCTGCAAGAAAATCGTCAGCCGCCGACAGAGCACGCTCCGAGTAACTGCAGGCAACACCCACCACGCATAAGGTTTGGCNTCTACCCGCACAATGCACACTTCCCTTGCAAATTACATGGTACTAGTTAATGAAATGCCCCTAGATACTGTCGACTTTGGAAGAGCAGCAGGCCGCACTATTCGACAAAGTGCCCGATCGGATCGATACGGGAAGTTTCTGACCACTTTCGCGGCGTTGCACACCCAACGTGTAGACACCCCAAAAGCCTAAACCATGTAACGCACTTGATAATAATGGAGGACAAGGAGAAAATGATCAACTTCAGGAAATAGAGGGTTGATTACTTCATAAATAACATTAACATCTCCCGACGCCCCTTCCACAAAGAAGGCATGAAAACCATGCTACACCCAGGCAGGCTCGCCCTTCACCTGGCAGATACCTCCGACCTATTGGGAAAATGCCGCCACCTGAGACGCCCCAGGTTCCTGCAAGAAAATCGTCAGCCGCCGACAGAGCACGCTCCGAGAAACTGCAGGCAACACCCACCACGCACAAGGTTTGGCGACTCACATCCATCTGAAAATATGACAGCTATACCCCGTCCGAGCGCCTTCGCATTCTTTTCACATCAAGCACACACGCCGCACGCCGTAGTCTGCCCACAGCGCCATCGATAAGCTCGTGCATTTCATACAGACAAGGGCTGATCTTTACGGCAACCGTTGCCCCGGACATGCGTGGCACTGACATTGCACGGCCTTTCACCGGGAGCAATGCGTTGCCTGCAAACTCACAGCCGCAACCGACAAGCTTTCGTCCACACCTGCATTCTAGCGTGTGCATGCACGCCGCAACTCCAAGCTATCAGCGAACACGCCAAGCAGCATCCATCCCCCCCACCCCCCATCCATCCCACACCTCGCAGCGATACTACCCGGTAGACCCAGCGAGATTGTACACAAGGACGCCTGTGAGGGCTACGGCCGTGCCTCCGAGCTGCCGCCCTGTCATCACCTCCCCCATGAGCAGGATCCCGCTACCGAACATCAACACCCTCTTGACGGAGTTACCCACGGCGTGGCCCACCGGGCTGAGCTGAGCCAGGAGGTTGAACGAGGCGAGGTTGTACCCGACGAAGCAGAGGGCCGCGTTGACGCCCTCCATGCTCAGCCAGCTCGCGCCGTTGCCCTCACGGGCGGCATCCGCGGCATCGACCACGCCTCCGGGAGCGGGGCCTAGGAGCAGGTCGTCCATGCTCCTCATCACGACCCTGAGCGCTATGAGGCTGAGGCCGATCGCCGCCGCTGCCGAGCTGCAGGCCAGGAGGGTCTGACGCGGTGGGACAGGGTCGCCCTTCTTGATCAGCACGTTGCGAAGAGCGTTGCAGCAGACGGCCGCCATGGTGAACATCGCTGCCAGCACCACTGGGCTGTGGGGCGTGGCTCCTCCCTCATCCGCTGCCTCGCGGGCGGTTCCTGCGGCGGACTTGCTTTTCGTGGTCAACAAGACGATTCCCGCCATGATGACCGCAAGCGACGCCAGCTTGACGCGGTGGACCGTCTTGCCCAGGATAAAGTACGAGAGCGCGACGGCAGCGACCGGCTCGGTGGCCTTGAGTGCGCTCGTCACGGCAACGCCGCCAACGAACACGGAGAAGCTCGTGAGAAGGGCCTGGCAGGTGTGGAGGATCGCCGCTAGCCCGACCAGTCGACTAGCCGCAAACGGCTGCATGAGCTGGCCTAGCACACTGACCGAGCCTCCTGCGCGCCCTTCGTCGGTGGCGCCCGAGCCCAGTCGTCCGAGAGCGCAAAGGACCACGACCCCGACCGACCCCTGCAAAACGAGGAGACCCACGGGGTCCTGCGTATCCCGAAGGTAGGACTTGCTGTAACTGCTGAAGGCCACCGCCAGAGCTATCCACAGGGTGAAGTTGAGCGCGAAGAGCAAGTTGAAAGGCGGTCCTGTCTTGGTAGCTGGGAATCCCGACGGTTTCGCGCCGGGGCTTCGTTGTGCTGGCGACAGAGAGTCTCGGGAACCCAGCTCGGAATCTCTGGAGCTGGAAGGGCTGACTGCATCGGTCATGCCGCTGTACTCTTCCATTTCTTGGTGGGCGGTGGCCTTCCATAGGGCAGGCTCCATGCCGCTGACGGCAACGAGACCCTTCTTGTCTCCATTGGCTGCGTCCGATTTGAGTACCCGTGGGCTTCGACCCCCACCGCGGCCACCGCCCGTCTTCGGGGGCAAGGCGGCCAACCCAACGATGGCGAACAGCAATAACAAGGCGGCACCGCAGTCCAAGCCGACAGGTGCCGGCATCATTTGGTGCGACCATGACGGCGCGGACCGCTCCGCCGGTGTGCCGTTCAGGGCCGCCGCGGCGCCCACTGCCACCTGCGGCGCCGGCAGTCCGTTGTCGATCTGAGCGTGTTGTACAGCCGTCGCCACATCCGGTCCCTGCTGCTGCTGCTGCTGGTCCCCGACCCCGAGGACGTCGACGAACACGTGGCGCGCGTGCACGAGGAACTCGTCGTGGAACACGGACAGCCGGTCGTGGATCACCGCCCGGCGATCTCCTTCCTCGTAGAACAACCTCACGCGACTAACTGCCGCGTTCACCAGCTCGCGGTTCAGGTTCTCGTCGATCTGGAGGAACTGGTCGGGCAGGGACATGGCGCGCGCCATGACGTCGGGCACCTTGTTGCCCGAGGAGAAACGGAAAGCGGCGAAGGTCGGCACGCCCATGTGCAGGCCCAGCACCACGCCGTGGAGCCTGGTCGAGATGATCGCCTTGCACGTGCATAGCTGCTCGACGTACTCCGTCGGATCGACGATTTGCTCCACTGGGCCGGGGTACGCGAACTACTCGAGGGGGTCCGGGGGGCGAGAATTTCACAGCACCCGATGGAAGAGAGGCGGCGGAGACGTGTTATTCAATGACACCCAGGATGGCAAGACGTGAAAGGGACACCATACGCCCCCATACTTGTCTCATACACATGCATGCTTTGTCTGTGGGCGGGAGCACGGGAAAACATAAAAGAAAACCATGAGCGACCGCACAACGCGATCCATGCCAATGCCCACCTTTTCGATCTCCTTCTGATGCTTCGGGAAAACGTTGATGAACCTGTCGCCCTGCCTCACAGCGTTGAGCAGGTATTCGTGCATCTCAATTGTATCCTCCGTGTTGGCCGCAGGTACTACGAAACAAAGGGGCTGTTGATCGTCGCCTACGGGAACCACGAGCCGGTGAAACAAAGGCGAGAAGCGCGAACAAAATGCAAGGGGCATCGGGCAAGAAATCAGCGTAGTTGACGACTGATAGGCTCGGGCGGCAATCGAAGAACTTCGTTTTCCTCCTGTCTTATCTGGCTGCGGTGTTCATCTCGCGTGGGTCACGCCTCGCCGGGGAAACCGACCGATAGCAAAACACATTGGCGTGTGAAAACATACCCAAACGCGGGTTTTGAGCTCTGTGCACGGTACCTTTCGATCGCTAGTGAACAAGTCTCCCCTTCATGAAACGAACACTAGTTCCCCGATAGTCTCCTTCCATTTACTTTGTCCGGGCCAGCCAAAAGCCAGCGGTGCTCACCTGCGCTCCGTTTCCAGCAGCTACCCTCTTTGTCGGACAGCATCTTGTCGCTCAACACTGGGTCCCTCACGAGAGCGACGTCGTCGGGGGCCACGGTCGCGTTGGGATCGAGCCCCAGCATGGACTTGAAAGTATTGATCGATTTCTCATCGCGGCCGGACACGAACACCGCCTTCGACACCAGCTTGCTGTAGGCCTTCGCGCGGTAGCTGACAGGGGGGAGGAAAGGACAACAGACCGACCGGCAGACGCGAGCGTTCGAAATCAGCGCGCACGCATGCACGAGCGACGTTTGCCGTCAAAAGACGAAGGTGGCTGCGGTTCTTGTTTGCTCGGTGGCAAGACGTGGAGGCGTCCTTGTTTTACGTCACCCACAGGGGAGGAGTTGATGCGTTCGCGAGCCTACGGGGTATTGTACCCGCGGGGAGCCTTCGAGGGTGGGTCCCGATACACAGAACGTGCCTCGTAGCATCGTGGCCATTCGGTTCCTACGGGACGATGAGTCAACACATGAGAAAGGGTTGGTGTATAGCCCTTACTGAGCCTGCGAATCAACCCAACCGACACACAGCGCGCGGCCTCTTAACATCATTGGCCGTTCGTTCCACCGCGCGACGATGAGTCTACGAGGCGGTTGGTGCAGCCCTTAACGAACCTTCGAATCGATCCAACCCCGCCCTTCCAACCGAATATTGCAAGAGACAGCGGGAAGCCGAAGGAACGCGACACTCACGATGCTCCTACTCCCATCACGACTATCGGCAGGGTCAAGGCCTCTGCGAACTGGTCGTTTTGCAAGGGCCGATGGATCGCTGCGAAAATCCCTCCGCCGCCGATCACCAAGGCCTTGAACCGATTTACCTGTGTGTTCGTCAAGCCGTATCGAGAATGGGCTTAGTCCACCGCAGTACGCTATGGCGGCACGCCGACGTGCACGCGCGAATAACGGTGTCACGGAACGATAGAACGACAGGCACGCTCGAGAGTCCCAGCCGGTGCCCATCCCAACCGAATGGTACGATTCACACGTGTACGTGTTCCTCCATGCGGGAAAAAATCTCCCGAAGTTGCCCCGAGAAATGGAGCCGTTTCTGTTCCGGAAAAAACCGTGAAACGCTGTGAAAACAATCTTGACGCTACAATGTAGCTATTTCTTCTTTTCGTTTTCAAGAGAATCGCAAAACTCGGGAAAACTTGCCAATTTTGATCGACAGCCACAACGGTTTCCTCGGACACTTCTACTGCTCCAGGCAACAAGCTGGTGAGAGTTTCCTCTCACCAGTAAACACCAAGGCACACGGATATGCCTTGAAGACCAAAATGAATATTCAACCGTGTTTATTTTCCTTTCTGCAATATTGTACCAACCGGGTGAAAAATAGTGCCTCGCCCAATGATATATATTGCACCCCTAATATTCGTGCGATACACTAGCGTCGTTCCACCCTATCGAGAACGACATCAACAATACACAACGATATCACCTCGTGGGAGCTACCTGCTGGGCGAACTGTCTGCGTGATTGGGGGGAGCGTGTCCATTCTCTGTTGGAGCTGGGGGCTCAGAAGAGGGGCCAGGTCAATCTCTGTCGGCGAAAAAAACTCATGCACGCAGAAAGATGTCGGTGTGTGTGTTTCGTTACCTTCCAAGCGTCGTCGGGCGTGAGGGGGATCAACTTCGAGTCGTCCCCGCCAAAAAACTCGCCGATGCGGAAACCCTTTTCGAGGTCTTCTTCGACCGGGTGTGCGTACCAAAAACACTGGCCCGGCGCGACAGAAGCTAGGAGGTCTTGCATCGCGATTGGTTGCACCACATCACCCATGTTGCCTGGCAAGAGGTTGGTTCGCGTCGGAAACAGAGGTGAGTGCGCTATGTTTGGGGTGCCGGGTCAAATAGGCTTGGGGACACTCGCCAAGCAGTCCTTTTTGCCGGGCACTGTCTTGCAAACGCTGCTGCTGCTAATGATGATGGTGATGGTGATTCCGCTGCCGGCAGTCGCAGCCGCGGTGGCAAGCCACCATTCTTCGACACCATCACCACCCTATCACGTCAAACGCGTACTTGGACCAGCTTTGCAAGGAATGTGTACATTGCGGGGCGCTTTGACGAAAAGCTGCTGTTGCTGATGGCGCTTCTGAAGCTAGCAGCACAGCAGCAACGGTGGTGAGACAACTCGACATCGCCGTCGCCCTATCGGTTCAAACGCCTTGTACTCAGTCCCCCTTACTCGGCGGCGGCAGGTCGGCCATCAACAAGGAGCCCAGAACGGAAAAGGCCATCATAGTCACACCCAACATGGACCTCGCCGAAGCAACGCCACCATGGACTCGCGGAACTCCTCTTGTTTTCTCACCATTGCAGAACCCCCCGAACAGCAGGATGCAGTCCCCGACATCATCGGCCAGACCCGCCTTGGGCGGATCGGCCTGCCTCGAGCGCCAGTCTGCGCCCACTGCCCGTCTACGCACGTGCGGCGCGGCCTCTCGTGGCCGTGCTGTAAGCGTCTCCAACTCCTCGGAACTTGGTTGCCCTGCCCAACCCAGAAATCAGGGGGGAGCGGGTTCGTTCAGCACGCTGCCCGGGTGCGAACTGCCCGGAAGCAACGGGACACCGTCGATATTCTTCGGCCTCATCTTACCCCCCGGGTTTCATTGACGAGTCCGTCTTGGTCCTCTCGACCAGGCCACACACCAAATTGAGGTTCAGAACCCGATCTACCCTCTCGACGAGCGCATTGCTGCTGGTACAGAGCGCGGGAACAACTCTCCTTGCAGTGGTCGAACCCAACAGTTCTCCGATACCATATTTTTTTAATGGCGCACACGGGTTCGAGGCTTGCACTGCTACGATGGCACATCGATCGTGTCCACGAGTGACAGCACCCAATGAGCGCATCATCGAATACTCTGGGCATCAGGTTCTTAGCCCTGGTCGTGGGGCGTCAAGCATACGCAGGGGTAACCGTCTGTCCAGGTGTGGTCAAGTTAGTTGACCACACGACCAACCTGGGTTTGATTGTTGTTCCCGCAACATCTATATTTCTTCGTCGTTCCACCTACGTAGTAAGCGAGAAAATCGACAGAGGACCTCAAATTGTGCGCGACAAAACCAGAGCATATAGCTTTTTCACAAGAACTGAAGGACGACGATGGTTCGAAAATACAAAACGAAATGCTCCGTGGGCGATGAAGAAAGAGGGAGGGATACGAAATGATCCATCGAGTTTTCAAACTTCTCCAGAATGGAGACCCTCTCTAAGGGTCCCCGAAAACAGTACTTGTCTCGAAACTCTCAACACCCAAGGTACGACAAGCTCGTCCTGCGAGTGGTCTTTTTATATGTTTTTTGTCGGGACTTGCGTCATTTAAGCTTACATCGACCACGGTACTTTTTTCTTTTTCTCACATCATTGGACTCTGTCGTCTGCCCCTCTGGCCCCTATCCTCCACTTCTACCAGCTAGACGACCCAATCGGGGTCACATAGAAGGGGGGGGTTGGACCCCCTCCTGCGGTTCCTGCCTGAGATATTTTTATCGCGACAAGGGTACAGCAATCCCGTCCCTCGCGACTTCTGAAGTCGATCAAGTTTACCAACAACGATCTATGCAGTGCGTCGCTTCCAACGAAGACTAGGATTTGATAAGCGAGAAAAAACTCACTCTGTCGGGACTCGAACCCATGACCTGGCCCTTAGCAGGCTGCGAGGCTACCCACTGGACCACCGGGGCCACCGGGTTTTGGTACCGTAATCGGCTGACCACTGCAGACCGTCGGGCGCCTTAAGATACCCACAACCCCCTGAAGCGGTTTTGAAAGTTGGATCACTCTGCTAAACAGATGGTATCGGACACCTGGCTTTTTGCCTATCAGAAGTTCTCGTTGTGCTCCATTCGGCTTGCCATAACAGCAGTTTGGGCCAGCAGATAAGAAACGTTCATTTCGGGTCGAGGTTTATTTCCTCATGTTGCCTCGAAGGACCATCCGAAGGCTTTCGCTTTCTGAGAAAAGAGTTTCACACATTTTGGGTGTGTCGGCAGCATGCAAATTTCCATGCATACTCTCGTGGTTCTTGCTTGCTTAAAAGAGTACATGTAGGCGTGGCGACATGAGGGGTTTCGCCTTTGTGAACTTCCTGTTTCCCTCCTCTTTGTCCCCCCCCCCCC